ATAATGCAAATACATGTTCACAACATTATAAGTTAAACAAGTAAAACACATATAAGGAGTTAGATTTCATCAAAATCGGAACTAAACTAGTCGTTATATATATATATATATATATATATATATATATATATATATATATATATATATATATATATATATATATATATATATATATATAAATTATATTTCAATGAAATTGAGAATCTACATGTATAAAATCCAAATCCAAAGTTAGATACTCCCTCCGGTTCACATTCTCCTTGACACTTCGGGAAAAATGCTTGACTGACAATAAAGCAACTCGATCTCTGTTCACACTCAGATTATTTTTAGTAAATAAAATTTACATATTCAGAAACTACATTGGAACCGCTACAAAGCCTGATCAAGAAAATTTAAATTCAATAAAAATTTGATATATAAAGTAAAAGATTAAGAGTGACTTGAGTTGACCAATGAATAGTAAGTGTAAAGAAGAATGTGAACCGGAGGGAGTATATGAATAAAAGAATAAAGATTGAAGTGTGATTCATGATAGTTAAGCTTAACTCAACAACACCAAATATTGTACTTTTATATAGTGGTTTACATTAAAACACGTACATAAAAGAAATAAGCATGCATGTATCTTCTAGACATTCAACTCATGAACATTATGATATGAGATGATAAGTTATATTGTAAGCCGATTATGATGAAATCAGTTTGAGATGAAATATGCTACTATAATGATTATACGAACTTATAAGAAATATTTCCCAAGTATTTTATTGAATAAAAACAAATGGAATTTGAAACCTTTGTTTCTGGATTCGGATAGGTTGGCATGCCAATAGGGATAGTTAATACGGCCGTAGAATTTAATCGATTAATTACGGGTCCGCAGCCATGGAGTGGACAGTGCCTGAATTATGACGTTAAATTATGGGTCCGCAGCCACGGAGTGGACAGTACCCAAATCTTAAACTTTGATCGTTTAGGATCCGTAGTCACGGAGTGGACAGTACCCAAATGAAAGGCCTGACCCAAACAACGGTCAGGCTGATACTACTCAGATGGTTCGCAGCCACGGAGTGGACAGTACCAGATGAGGAATGTCCCGTTTATCCAGTCCATTAAATTAAGGAGTAGAATTCCAGAAAACTTAATAATAGAATAAAAGTGTGAAAAAGAAAATAGAAACTGACAAGGAGCAGAGGATGAAAATTGAGCAATTCAAAGTTAAACTTAGACAAGAAGAAAATCGAATGGAATATTGAGTTACAGCTATGATATAGCTCATGTGTGAATTTTGACTCTGACATAAAGTGGTGAAAATGGAGGCAGAAAGAATGAAAAGAGAAAATGTGGAAAACAGAACGAATTATGAAAGTGAAGTAAGAGATATGAATATAAAATGAGAGACGATAGAAGAATGTAATATTATATTCAACTAAGGAATAAGTTAATTTGAACATGAAGGACATCTGGATAAATCAATGATTGAATAAAGTTACGATTCCAAGCTTAATTAATATCCTAATAAGAAAAGCATACTTGGAACATTGATTTATAAGTTATACAGAAAATCAAGAGATATTAAAGGTTCAAATCGAGACTGGAGTTTTAATAATTAGAAGTTTATAATTTTTGCAATATGTTGAAATAATCATATCCATTTAGAACCGAATGAAATATAGATCGAACTAGCTTTTAGAATGAAACTAATTTTGTACATTTTGCATTATTTCTAGTATTTATTATTCAATACCTTAGTGTAGCAAAAAGGAATTTTATAATGCATCTGGTTACAAACTAATAAGGAATTGAATTAGTTATTAGTATTAACTAACGAGATTTCAATCAAAGAGTTTTTTTTTTGTATTATATGTATTGAATAGTTACTTGAAACAAAGTGTACTTTATGAGATACTTAAGTTAATGGGTAAAAATCAATATGGAGAAATTTATATATATATATATATATATATATATATATATATATATATATATATATATATATATATTCAATACATGTTATTTTTATTTGTTGAGTTATTTTGTGATATTTGATATTGATAATGTATGGAGAAAGAATGAACACCACTAAGCAAGTTTTGCTTAGCGCGTTGGATTTTTGTCCTTCGCGTAGGTACATAGCTAATACGAGCCAAAGTTCAAGGAGAAAAGCATTTGGGAGCAACCTGCCAATCAACACAGAGTCACACTTGCATATTAGTAATATTTCATCTTAGTCTGCATAATAAATATGTATTAAATATATTAGTATGATGTAATAGCAACACTAAATATTTACTTATTGTATATAAAATATGAATGCTTCCGCAAATATGAGTTTTCTTAAAGTTATTATCATTAGCTCACTTTTTAAATAAAAGTGTTTTGGAATAATGAAAAGTTAGTCTGCGCTTTGGTGCTCCGGCACTGCGGGTAGCGCTCCCTGCCATCCTTCCGGGCCGGGTAGGGGGTGTTACAGTATACATATGGCGTACGTAGAAACGGTGATGTGTAGAAGGGTATACTTCTTCTAGTGCAGCCACAAGACCTTATCAATGAAGCCAACTTGTAAGAAATTTTGTAAAATATGTATGTAAGCAATAATAAATGATATTATTTAATATTTACCTTTCCTTGGTCAGAAATGAATGTCCATCTCTCTCCGCGTATGGATTTTTGTCCAATATCATTCAACAAGTTGTTTAAAAACCATTGCCACGTCTCTCTGGTCTCGGACGCTACTACTGCATAAGCTATAATGAACAAACCATTGTTTCCATCAAGACTGACTGCTGCAAGCAATTGACCACGATAGTATCCACTCAAATGACATCCATCTATTGCAATCAGCGGTCGACAACCACTCAGAAACTCCTTTTTACAAGCATCTATGCATAAATATGTTCTTTCAAATCTTGCCTGACCAGCCTGACCATGTTCTAGGCAAATTAGTTCTATAGTAGATCCAGAATTGGTTTTCATTAACTCCTCGCAATAATCTGGTAACCTCGAATATTGTTGATCAACATTGCCATCAAGTAATTGGAGAGCACACGCTTTTACTCTATAAGCCTTTGCGATACTAATTGTGACATTATATTTCTTTAATACAAGATCTTTCACTTCGTCACCGGTCATTTTTTGCATGTTGTTTAAACTCTTCAATTAACTTTTTGGCCAACCATTTAGTACTAGCAAATCCTTCTTTCACTCATTCCTTTTGACAGCTATGACTAGAAATAAATGTTTTGACCATGTAAGTTTCTAAATTTCCAACTTTTGAACAGTAGATAAGCCATGGGCAATCGCTTACACACCTCACTCGACATTTAATCTTGTCTTTCTTCACAAAGGTCAAACTAAACATATTTTGAACACCATAGCTTCTAACAGCTTCGCAAAAATCATCAATAGATGCAAATGATTGGTCCAACTTAAAGTGATCCTCCCCTTGGCTCGCTTGGGTGCGGACAGAATCCAATTCATCTCCACTAGTTGAAGATTCAGATTCATGAATACTCTTCAATTCCGTCAAAGACTGTACTGTATCTTCCCCTGACAAGTCAGAAAAGTCACTTGAGTCGTTTAAGAAATTTGCACCAATTGGATCAACTATGGGGGGAGAGTAACCAGTTGCTTGGTGCCTTGGTTATTATCATGACTATGATACTCCCCTATACTCCATTCGTCTAATGCATAATCTCCAGAAGCCATCTGAAAACAAAATCTATAAAAAAAGATCAAAGAACTCTTAAACAACGATAACCAACAATCTTTTAAGAAAAAACTAAATTTGAAAGTACGTACTATAAAACTAAAAAAAATTGTAACAATATATATACCTCATGTTAAAAATACAGAGGACCTGGTCATTTTTTATGTTCTGTGATTCATATTATATACTATAAGTAATTTTTCATATCAAGAAAAAACATCAAACAAAGTTATGGTGTTTATATGCTTTACATGCTTGTGCACTCTTGTTTGTTAGTTACAAGTTTGGTTTATGATTTATTGTAAAGTAGACCACTTAACATCATTTTCATGGCTCATCATTTTTTACTATAAATTGATTATATAAATTAATTTTTTAATATAAGGTGCCACATCATTATTCCGTAAGGAATAAACTGACGGCGTTAAATCTACAGGTCCAAAATTGATAGTTTAGGATGTTTCAGGTCCATTATTGATTCAATTTATCTTTCAGGTCCAAAATTGATAGTAGACCTAACTTTCGGGACCTAGCCTGATAAAATTCCTACAAAAAAATACGCCAAATCGCAAGAGAATGATAACAATTATAGAAGTCCTAAATTTTCTATATGGTGTAAGTTGCAACTCTTTTTTTACTTGAACTGTTTTAAAATACATCGACATTTATCAAAGCAGACCAAAGTCACCAAACCAATTAAGAGCAGAAAATTTCAATTCAATTTAAAACATGGATTTTTGGGCCCTAGAAATATCGAAAGCATCCTGGTCCAATCGTGGTGAGTAATTAGAGACGAAGCCTAGAGAAAGAGAGAAAGCCCAACCCGACGAAGCATGGATGAAGAAGACAAGTGTTGGTTCACACAATTCTAGAAGCATGCACATATGGAAAGCAACACATACACGTATGTTGACCAAGGCTGCATACAAGGGGAATTAAATATAACTGTAGGTCATTAATGGTGTATAATTTTATTCTTTTCATGAATATTCTTTCCATGTGGCTTAATTGGAAAGTAGCATACGGACATGGTATAAATTCATACATCTTGTAAGATTGAGAGGAGGAGGGGAGAGCTCTTACTACCTTTGTGTTCACAATTCAATATTACAATAATATTCATAATTCTAATTCTTGATTCTTAGAGTATATTCTTGTACGAAACCCCCAAATCTTTATTTTAATTGTTTGATTAGATTATCAATTTCTTGCTTAAACAATTTGGTGCCCACCGTGGGGCCTCGTGCAAGAGAAAGATCAATCATGGCATGAGCTAACCCCTTGGTGAGTGAATTTCACGAGCAGCTAGAGACGATGAGGGAAGAAATCCGACACGAGGTGGCGGAACGGATGGCCCACCTTCAACGGGAGAATGACGTGCTTCGATCCCATGTGCAATTAGTGGTGTCGATAGCTTCAAACTCAATGATTCACCGGATGAGCGACGCCAGGACTGCCGCCACGAGACTGGATCTTGGTTTCACCCCGACGGCGACGGATCCACCTGCAACATCGACGGATCCACCTGCAACATCGACGGATCTAGTTTCTCTCACACTAGGCCCGTCACCAACCGGAGAGCAATATTCAACAGTCATTTCACAGGTTATTCCTTACACTCCTCTCGTCCCTGAGACCACGCCGGTCCCCAACGTTCTGGCTTGTTATTTCCCGGAGTCCCTTCAAGTCAGATCGAGAGGAACGAGCCTATATTCGGCGAATCAGAGCATGCCTTCGACGGGTATGACCTCTGCCTTGACAGAGCCCTCAATTCCTCATTATAGAAGCAGGACCTGTGGAGATCCTGATCCGTCCAGCTTCATGCAAGATGCCAGATGTAATGAGCCTGACGTATCATTTCTAGAGTGTCAGACGCAGCGTTCTCCCAGACCCGTCACATCATCAGCAACCACATTTCCGGAACGACGCCCTGAGATAATTTTCATCCCGTCACTGACCCGACCTGAAATCACACAGATGGCCAGACTGACAATCTCGATGCTAGCACCAATCCAACTAAGCAGGGCAGATCAAATGTCTATGATGATGGAACAGATGCGTCAAATGCAAGACAAGATCAACGGATTGCCTAGAGTGCCCCTGTCCTTGGACAGAGCGTCATGGACGTGTTATGCAGATTAATTCCCCCTTTAGCAGACAGATCACCGACGTGGAAATACCTAGAAAGTTTGCTGGTCCATCAATAAAAACGTTTGACGGTACGTCTGATCTGGGGGAACATGTCGCCCAGTACAAACAACACATGTTGGCTGTATCACTTCGTCCAGACCAAAGGGATCGGAGGCATGCATGTGCAGAAGATTTGGACCGACACTTTCAGGACCGGCCCTTACCTGGTTCGTCAACTTGCCAAATGAGGCGATCAATTCATTTGCAGAGCTCGTCGACTTGTTTAACCAGCAATTCGCAAGTAGTCGCGTTCTGGAGAAACAAACAAGTGATCTATACAAAGTTGCTCAGCGACGAGGCAAATCATTGAGGGACTATCTTCATCGTTTCAATAAAGAAAAAGTGTTGATTCCAAGGTGTGACATACCAACAGTAGTGGAGGCATTCCAAAGAGGTTTGCTTGACAATTCAGAGCTGTATCGCGAACTGACGAAATACCCTTGTCGATTCTTCGAAGATGTCCAAGCAAAGGCGTTGGCTTTTATCCGTCTGGAAGAAGACTTACGATCCCGTCGCGGACAATTTGAGTATGACGGGGAGCACGGGAAATCAGAATCTCCTATGAGGCATGATTAGAAGTCTGGAAAACCTTATTCAAGACTTGAGGAACGAGTCGTCACACCATGACGAGATGGACTTGACAAGATGGTTGAAATCTTGGACGGGGGGCATGTTGTCTGATGGTAAATAGGCTCTAAGGAGATGCAATACGGTACCATTAAAGTTGTTTCATTTTTGGTTTATTACTTTCTTTTACAATTTGGCATCACTTTCGTGACGAGTCATTTACGTGATGAATCATTTCTGTGACGAATCACTTCCGTGACGAATCACTTCTGTGACGAGTCACTCCCATGACGAATCATTTCTGTGACGAGTCACTCCCATGACGAATCACTTCTGTGACAAGTCACCTCCACGATGAGTCATTTACTCGACGAGCCTCTTCCGCAACGAGTCACTTCGGTGACAAGACGATTGAAATCGTCGGACAGGGGGCATATCGCCTGGTGATGGGCATGTTCTGATTATAGATGCGTAGTATTTGTGTAGTTTTGTATGCAAATACTTAATTCATTATTTTTATTTACATATGAACGATCACTAACTTAAGCGTCGGAGGGCCGTTGGCTTAAGGCCATTGACCGATCCTAACAACGTTTGAATACAGGAAAGTAAACGAGACGTCGACTTAAAGGACGTACCATCAGCAGGTTACAATATCAATCTGAAAGTAAAAGAGACGTCGATTCAACTTGACATGCTAGGTATGAAATATATACAAATTTTTCCTAAACATTGATTAGCCACCTTTTACTGACTTAACCATCGGAGGGTCGTTGGCCCAAAGCCAACGGCCAACCTGACGGTTTGTGACGAGTGCAGGGCAATCTTGAAGCGTAAGTTCTGAAAACTATTGAAACGACCTACAAAGGTTAAGAGACGTCATTCAGGCTCACATCAGCCAAGCAACCTACTTAAACATCAAAATGGGAAAGGTTGGGCTGCCCTTGAGAGCATCATGGATTACAGTCCCAACAGATCCCTACATGTTTTGGCCAGAACTCACACACATATATGACAATACACGTACAACAAACACTACATAACTACACAACAGAAGCGCATGCTCCAACATAAGGAGATAATACAAACGACAAACGTAACGTTATTTAAAGTTTTTGCAGGATATGAACCAAGTTCACTCAACCCACTCGTCATCTTCCACGGCAAGTGATGTTCCCTTTGCCAGCTGAAATGTCGACATCAATATGAAAGATGTTGCAAATTTCTGTCATCTAGTCGTCAATGCAATTTTGGATAGGAGAAGATAAAATGCTATCTTTCCGTCTTCGTTGTTTTAGTCAAAGAGACGGTTACAATCAAAAACTACTTGCAAGGAAAGTGACAAGTTGACGGAAGCGCCTTATTTGACAGGTTGACGAAAGCGTCTCGCCAGACAAGTGACATGTTGATAGAAGCGTCTCCTCAAATAAATGACGAGTTGACGGAAGGGTCCTGTCATGCGAGTGACGGGTTGACGATGTGTCGTGTCAAATTGATGATGAGTCTATAAGAGCAATGATCCAGGATGACAAATATATGTGTTTTCAAGATTTCGAAAAGTTGATGCTTAACGGTTGACATGTGCACTTGTACGCCTCAACTTCTCGAAAGGGGGCAATTGTTGGGCCCTAGAAATATCGGAAGCAGCCCGGTCCAATCGTGGTGAGTAATTAGAAATGAAGCCCAAAGAAAGAGAGAAAGCCCAACCCAACAAAGCATGGATAAAGAAGACAAGTTTTGGTTCACACAATTCTAGAAGCATGCACATATGGAAAGCAACACATACACGTATGTTGACCAAGGCTGCATATAAGGGGAATTAAATATAGCTGTAGGTCATTAATGGTGTATAATTTTATTCCTTTCATGAATATTCTTTCCATGTGGCTTAATTGGAAAGTAGCATATGGACATGGTATAAATCTATACATCTTGTAAGATTGAGAGGAGGAGGGGAGAGCTCTTACTACCCTTGTAATCACAATTCAATATTACAATAATATTTGTAATCCTAATTCTTGATTCTTAGAAAATATTCTTGTACGAAACCCCCAAATCTTTATTTTAATTGTTTGATTAGATTATCAATTTCTTGCTTAAGGGGAATTAATGTACTCCCTCGACGGATCCACCTGCAACATCAACATTGACCAAGGCTGCATATAAAGGGAATTAATGTACTCATATAACTGTAGGTCATTAATGGTGTATAATTTTATTCCTTTCATGAATATTCTTTCCATGTGGCTTGATTGGAAAGTAGCATACGAACATGGTATAAATTTATACATCTTGTGTAAGATTGAGAGGAGAAGGGGAGAGCTCTTACTACCCTTGTATTAACAATTCAATATTACAATAGTATTCGTAATCCTAATTCTTGATTCTTAGAGTATATTCTTGTACGAAACCCTCAATCTTTATTTTAATTGTTTGATTAGATTATCAATTTCTTGCTTAAACATGGATCATGTCTTTGTTGTCTACGTGTAAATCATACGTAGTATTGGAGTACAGTTGGAAGTTGTATTTCTTGGAAGTTGTACTTGCCACTAAAAACATCATTTCTTCGTTGAACAGGTTTTATTTTTTTATAATAGTAGTAGTGCTCAATTTTATTTGTCCCCTTGTCACTATTGATTTTTTAGCAAATGAAATGTACTTTAAATGTAACATTTATTGGCTTCTAATTCAATTTGTGGGGTGTATCAACAACTAAGCACGAAGTAAAATTAAAGTTTAAGTTTCACTTGAGTTGTAAATGGCTTTACTCAAGTAATCTAGACAGGGGAAATTTGAAGTGGACTATAAAGGATGTATTTTATTAAGAAAATACTTTCAACTTTTAAATTGAAAAAGTTAGCATCAGCGTTTACAAATAGATATATATACTTAAAATAAATGCATTAGAGTTAAAAATTCGAAAATAAATTGTTGTTACTCTTTCTATTGCAGAAAAAACACTTTTAAATCAAAAGTATTACGAAATACTATTCAAAATCATTATTCTTGAGTACACAGTAATAATCGAGAATTTAAATTTGTATCCCATCATAATATTTTGATGGCAATGCTTTTAGACTTTGTATATGTATAATTAAATAATTATCGATGATTTTCATGACGTGAAATAAATAAGTTATGAATATCAATTGACGTGCTAATCTAGATAACGTGCTATATTGTGTTAGTGTTTGTACTTTATCTTGGTCCCCCTCTTTCCAATCCCGGCTTCGCCCCCGACTACAAGTAGTGTGTAATGATTTTAACCTCTACTTAAACCTTTTATTTCCGTTGTATCCAAAAAGTCTACTTAAAACTTGAAGTCAAAGCATCTATGGCCCATCTTCAACTCTTACCGGATGCATGCGGTCAACTGTCCCAGACCGGCCAATTTTTTTTGGTGACAACTCCGGTACCCATTAAAAAAATGGGGTACCGTACCTATCATGCATTTGATTGGTCCAAATCATTATATCACTTTTAATTTAGATTTAAATAATTCAACTGCATCATTCTGATTGATCTATATAGACAAAGGTATGGTACTTTATGGGTACCATAGAATCTACCATTTTTTTAGCTTGAAACCGGGTGAAAAAACTACAACGGGTCAAGACCGGACCAACCTAGATCCACTCATCCACCCCTACTTACACGTATGACCATAGTTCCTCTTCGGTAGAAAGTTCTATCGGGGTAGAAATAATTTCCCCTCTTCAAGAGAAGATTCCTGCAAAAAACTTCACGTTCAGTAAACCACTCCCTTAATTACGCGAATGCGTGATTAACTGAAATCAAATTGATGCTTTTCTTCTTTTAATTCAGCAATTTTTAATTACTCATTTGTGGTACAGCTATATTTCAATACTGACTTATTTAAAATTGATTCTATTTATAGATAAGTGGCTTTATGTACACTTGTAGATTTCTATGACTTGTATGTTGTGAAATTAGGAAAGGCTATGAAGCATAAATTAGAGTTTTAATTATACACATAATTTAAAATTTTCTTTTGTTCTGATTAGAATAGTTGAATAGGAACAACACATATTTGCATACAACAACCGAATCAAACACAAAAGAAAATATGATTTGATTGGTAAACAAATACAAATACTACAATTTATATGAGTAAAAATGTTCATTCACTTTGATTCGCTTATAATCCCACCCCGACCGGCGACAGTTGCCAAAGCCCATTACTGGAAATAATTTTCCAAATAAATTACTAAAAAAACGCACAAATCCACCGCCATCACCAACCAAAAAAAAAAAGAAATATTAAAAAAAAAACAAAAAAACCACCTAAAAGTTACAGAGAAACTCAAAAGTCTCTAGAATTTACCACTACCGCTTATAGTGACATGTAGAATGGTCGCAGTATGTTAATGGCAATGTCACTGTTAGACATTAAGTGACATTAAAATTAAGGGCATTGACATGTATAGTCATTGTTTAATTTTTTTAAGCAATATTTAGCTTTAGTACAAATGTACGATCGTTCCCTCTCACAAACTCTCACTCTCAACACGGAGAAATGGATTGCCAGCTTTAGCTCAACTGCAAGGTAAAATGATCTCACATTGCTGCAGCTGAATTTGCAATCCTACTTGCAACAAGCATGGGAATGTATACGAAAAAACCTACAGCAGATATTACTTATAAGATAGTCATCTCGGTGCCAAATAATGACGGGGCCACTGGCCTATAAACCCGAGGGGCTAACAAAATATCTAATGCAGATATAATGCACCCATGTTGCATCTATCCTAACAAAATATTGTTGGACTAATGTAGTTTAACTTTCTTGAAGAAAATGCTCACCCCTAGTATTAGCACACGAACAGCATCATCTTGGAACTTCTGTGCATGTGCTTTTAATCAATGTTGGATATGAGGAGGAGTCAACTGGTTTCTTCAAACATATCTCCATCTTGTTGTGAGTGGTGCTTCACAAAAAGGGATCCTACTTGCCCACTTCCTTCAACAATGGATGATCCAACAATCTACACTTTCCAAAAACAAGGTTTGTGCGTTTAATCGTCAATAGATGATATGATTCTTGTTTTGTTCTATACTCCCTCTGTTCCATAAAGCTCGCTCATGTTTGACTTACACATAATATAATACTACTTAAAGTAAAAACAATGTGATTGAGATTTGTGTAGAGGAGAGAAAAATTACTTTAACCACATATTTATTACTTTATATGGAAATGACAAAGTTTCTTGGGACTGCTAAAAATGAAACTTGGCACTGTTTTGTGGATGGAGGGAGTATAATAAATTACAATCAGCATTCCTTACCTTCTCTAATTCCTCAAAGAGAAGGGTATTTTCTCTCAGGAACTGTAAAGCCTTGTCTCTGCCCTGTCCCAACCTATGGTCACCATAACTATACCATGAACCCTTCTTGGTCACTATTTCCATCGCATCTGCACAGTCCAGTATGCATCCCTATACAATGAGTCAAATCTAAAGTTAGAGAGGAGTGGGCAATTAAAATATTTAATATATATTCTTTATAAGGATAATTGTAGTTTCAGAGACCAGCTTGTTCACTCCCTCTCCAAAAGTAATTTCAAACTCTGCTTGCTTGTATGGCCTTGATACCTGGAGAACAACAGCGAACTCTCAGCATTGCTAATAAGATATACGGAGTAGTATACTGAGAGAATTCCAAATCACAAAGCATAGCTATAATTGTGGAGAGGAGGATGGAATTGCATGTCACAACAATATTACATGCCTGTCATTTATCTTTAAAAAAAGGTCTAAGAATGTCCTCAGTGCAAGTGGAAGAAAATTATGTGATTATGGTGGTTTTGGAATTTCATATTTTGTAAAAATGGTGCAACATGAATTCCAACAATTTTTTTAATGAATCATATTGTTAAACTGTTAACTAGTTTTAAAAAATTATTATTGTGATGCCATAAATTTCATGTCAACGACTCAAACATAATTCAGATTAGAGAGATGATGGTTTGGGGTGGAAGGAGTTCTTAAGATGGTCACATGCTCGAGTCTGCTCAGTCTCAATGGTACATGCGCACACAGAAATTAATGAGCAATATGTATTTGATAAGCAGGCCATAAATGAAATTAACATCAAGAGCTCTAAATAAGAATCAAGGACTCAAGGTACTTGCCTTACTCTTTTGAACTCTTACACGCACCCTTAATCCAACTTCTTCATCTCCTTTGGCCTTTGGCCACAAGATGTACAAAACAAGAAAAGTTTAGCATAATTTGGAACAAGTATAGAAGGATGGAGGTATTCATCAAAGGGGATGATGATGATGTGCTTACAGACTTTATCTTGCCAATAGGACGGATTTCAAGTCGAACTGAAGCAAAAAACTTTAGCGCAATTCCTCCACTAGTGACTTCTGGGTTTCCATAGTATACCCCTATCTGGTGAAACCAAAAAAATAGTATTGTTGTTATATTAAAGAAGGAATTTGGCATCATCCATTTCAGCCAATTAAGTGAAAGGCTTATAAATGAATGGAGCCTTAGGACATGTTTACTAAATTGTTAATAGCGCTGTTAGGTTATGGGAAAATCACTATTAACCCCCTGAGGTTATGCCATAATTATTAATACAACCTTGCATTTTCAAAAATCAATTACTTACCGCCTGAGATTTTATCATTCTCACTGTTTGGCCCCTCACATTAATATTTGTTAAATTTCATATAACTCTTAAATTTAATGAAAGTTGTCTATAAAATTATAAAAATTAAAGTAAAATAAAGTTTATTATCATACTTATATGTCATTGTTGTTGATCGTTGTTTTTCTATTTAGCTGCTCGATCATGGAATAAATATTAATGAGTGTAGTTAAGAGAGAAGACACACAAGTGAGTTATAAAATATCACAAGAGTTTATATTTTAATTTAAAAAAATAAAGATCATTTTATCTTATTAAACTAATAAACTTTTTGTGAAGAAAAAATCATAAAAAAATTTACTAATAGAATTAAAGAGAAAAGTTAATAAATCAAAATCTATGATATATATTTTAGCCTTTTAGGTCATACATAGATTGATAGTTTTCAATTATTCAAATCATATATCGAACAATCTATCTTTTAGGTCCGTTATTAATACTAGACGAAACTTTTAGGTCATGTATTGATAAATTTCCTTTTTCTTGGTATATTTTCTTTGCTACACATGAAAGAAATGTCTTTGAGGTTTACTTAGCCGGATGAATTACAAATAAGACTCTTATATTCATGATGAAGAGGTGTTTCAAATTTTGATAACACATATTTCAAAAAACTTTTTTTGATGCATGTCATGAATATTACTCAACTCATGAGTCTTCTGCCTTAACTACTTTCATTAATATTTATTTCACAATCGAGTAACTAAGTACATAAATAACAATCAAGAAAAATGACTTATAATTATGATAATAAATTGAGTTTTTTTACTTTAAAGTTTAATTTTACGGACAAATTTTATTGAATTTAAGAGTTAAATTAAATTAAATTTAACAAATATTAACATGAAGGGGCATATAGTGAGAATGATCAAAACTGAGGGGGTAACTAATTGATTTTTGAAAACGCAAAGTTGCATTAATAATTATGACATAACCTTAGGGGGTTAATAGTAATTTTCCCTTAGGCTATTAATGCGAGTGAAGTAAGCAGGTATTGGGACTTAAATGTGTGCTTAATAAACATCTTCTGTCCTTAAAGCGCCGCTTATTAAAAACGAGCCTCACCCATGTTTTAGTTAAGCAGCAATTTATGCTTTTTCCATGTGACAAGCATACCCTCCCATCAACAACAGAAAGAACACATTTTAATTCTTGTTCATATCCCACCATTGCCAATCTCGACCTCTCTCAATCCTAAACGGCTAGATTCTAT